GTATATAAATGAGTGATTCATTGTAAGGAATTAAAATTAATGAGATAAGGACAGTTAAAAGAAGGCACAGTTTGTGTCAGATTCTCATGAAAAGAATTATATAGATAAGGACCATTATTAAAAGAATCTGCAGTTTGTGCCAGATTTTGAATAAACGGGTATGTGTTGTTGTATGGCAAAGGAATACCTGTAATGTTGTGTTAAGTAAATATTAATAGAATAATAAAATTGATTGATTATAAATAAATTATGATAAATAATTACACTCACGTTCACGAATAACGTTCAGACTTTCACATTCATTTTTAACAGTTAAAATAGCGAACTTAAGCTCTTCATAGAAAGACTTAAAATATGGTTGAAGTCTAAGCTTTGAGTTGCTCCAGATCATTTTCGAAAGTTTTGAAATTTCATTTTGCTTGAAATTTTTAAATTCATGATATTTCTTCTTGATATCATATAAATGAGCTCTGAAAAGAAGGAAAGAGTTTGCCGTTTTTTTGTTTAGAAATTTTCCGTGTTTGCGCATATATCTATGCAAAAGGTCATTGACAGATTTTAAAGGCACGTAATATTGACGCGTGAATAAAGTAGACCACATTATTTCGAGTTCAAGAGTGATGGGTTCATTTAAGTTATTATAGAGTAGTTTCGCACTCGCACAAATATACGAACATTCAGAAGTGCAATGTTCGAACTCAATTAAAAGGTCGTTGTTTGACATTATAATAGAAAAAAGTCATTAAAAAAAAGGTTTTATGAACGTTTCGTGAACGATACTGAAAGGTTCAAAATGCTCGTTTCTTTTATAATAAATTGTTATTGAATAACATCTAGTAAAGTTGCAAAAACATATAGTAACGTGCATTCATTTTTTTTTATTAATAAATCAGTTATTAAACATATTACATGTACTAAAAAAACTTTCATTATTCAATCCTCTATAACTGACATAACTGACATTGTTTTAAATTATTTCCTAGTTCTTTGTTTTTTTTTCTTTGCATAAACTAGCTTGCATCCTTTAAACCTCTAAAAAAACTCTTTATTTACCGTTGCAGGCTGTAAACAAAAAAGTATAGAAAAAGCAAATTTCGAAATTAATTAACCGTTAACTCTAACTTTTTATAAATTGACATGTCAATTGGCACAGCTTAACATCTCTTTATTAATATATATACGTCATGTCATTTGTTATTTTCGTTGTCCTAATTTAGAGTATGATAACTTATGAAAAACTAAATTAGATTGTATTATCGCTGTGACATGTGTTTTAAATTTTGCTAAATGGGCTGGCTGATGTAACTCCCAAATAGATTTTGAATTGGCCCAAATTTGGCCATTTTATCTGGAAGTGATGGAATCAAAATCCGGCACATACATGTATTAAACATTAAATTCTATATAACTTAGATATATAATATCGGATATAAGTGTCCGTCTATATTCGATAAAATGCATGCGTAGTGATAATTTATTTCATTCTTCTATTTCCTTTTTTTGAAATCACTTGATAACGATAATGCTATGCTAACTGAGCTTTGATCCTTTTGCTGAATAATGCGAAACTTTTTATAGATCAAAAAGTTAGACAAGTATCAGTCAATTTTTGAAAATGCGCTGACGAAGTTGCGAAATGTTTATATTGATTGATTATTTAAGATATTTTGACTGTATTCATACTGATACGGTCTTTGCGTTGTACGTATGCGTAGTTAATATTGATGAAATTCAATTTCTATGTAATATATCATAAGCGTACAATCTTATACGTATTAAAGAACTATCCCGATTTATTGCTTTAATGTCTTCGAAAGCGAAGACCCAGAGAAGACGAAATAAAATTACTTTTTTTAGTATAGAATATACATATTATCACCACTAAATAATTATCTGTTAATAAATGTGCATAGCACGATAATTTAAAATAGCATAAAAGTTCTTACCGTTAAAAAAATTTACTAACCTTTAAGACAATTAAATATTCTCTTCGCGTAAATAATAGTTAGGTTCCTGATCACATGAAAATCATAAACCAATAAAAATGAGTGAATTTTTGATATACAAATCTGCAACAAATCTAAACATGGGTTGCGTATTCTTATTGGTTCGTTATTATGTGAGCGTAGTTATATTATGCTATTCGCTATATTAGAATTTCCTAGATCAAACTTTAGTGTTTTTTTCTCATGATAACGATAAAAAGCTTTTTCATTCGTTTTTATCGGTCTAACGGGTTTTTAAAAACCCATTTCGCCATAGCGATATTCCTAACATTTTTGCGTCAAATTCGGAATCAATACATTCAGGAATTTAAGTTTATTAATTATAATTTAATAATGTAATAAATAATTTTAATACAAAAAATGACAAGACTTCATTTATAAAAAAGGGGATCATTTCCAATGTTCGACAAATTAAATAAAAATGTTTTTTGATGCCAAATTTCGGCGACTACAACCAAAAATAAAAATTAAATAAAAATGTTTTTTGATGATAATTTGATAATTGAATTTTCTATTGTTTTTCGGCGATTAATAATAAAGATAACGTTTTACATTATTGTTTCCATTATTATTCCCGTTGTTAGAACCAACGTTATTGTTGCCATTGTTGTTTCCGTTGTTAGAACCATGGTTATTGTTACCGTTATTGTTTCCGTTGTTAGAACCTGCGTTATTGTTTCCATTATTATTACCGTTATTAGAACCATGGTTATTGTTTCCGTTATTGTTTCCGTTATTAGAACCACGTTTTAAATTATTGTTTCCATTATTATTTCCGTTGTTAGCACCATGATTATTATTTCCATTATTATTTCCGTTGTTTGCACCAACGTTATTGTTTCCATTATTATTTCCGTTGTTAGAACCAACATTATTATTTCCATTGTTGTTTCCGTTGTTGGAACCATGGTTATTGTTTCCGTTATTGTTTCCGTTGTTAGAACC